AACACTGAAGGCAAGCTTTGGCAGTTCCACTGCATAGGAAAGGTTTCTGGCTGTCTGGTCTCTCAGTGCAGAGTTCCCAGGAGGCTCCTCAAGATGCACATTCATTTATTATGCCCATAAAATCTCAGGAACCTGAAAGCACAGGACAAGGTCCTGACCCATAAAGCAGTTACAGACAGTGTGTGGACAAGGCAGAGGCCCCTGGAAATGTCCACAAACAGGAACAAGACACAAGACAGTGACTAACAGGCACGTGGTACCTCATCCTCAGATGGTCTCCGTTCCAGGCTGGCCAGCCCATCCACTGTCAATCTGTCAGTTAACAAGGGTTACCCAACAGTCTCCACCAGGAACCTAACAATGAGAATCAACAGACTGCCGAACCTCATAATCCCCTGAAGCTAGGGCTCTAGCATGGTCTACTGCTCACAGCGGACAAGTGCCTGTAAGCAAAACACCACCGCTAAGTGCCTGATGGAAAGAAGGGGTTGGCTGGGAAGCGTGGGTCGGGGAGTCCGTCTTCTGTATTTCCCGGCCCTCACCCCGACGCGGCATGCCAGTCTTCTTCCACTCTCCCTCTCCTTTCACTGCTTTTATGCAGTCTGTCAGCACTTCTGTCGTCTGCTTCTCAGAAATGGCACTTGCATCCTCCCTCTTCTGCTTCACCTGAGAGCTGCCACTTGCCCTGATACCGCGGCCACCCCAGTCACCGGTGCTCCAAGCCTAGGCAGTCCCGCACTCCGTGTCTGTCGGATGCGGTTCCTGCAAACCCAGCTCTCAGTCAGTCCTGTTTCTGCATAACGGTCAGCTCATCAGGGTCCTCTCTGGCCCCATCAGGACTAGTCACTAAGAATCCTTTTCTATGTGGCCCTCCCCATCACTCCAATACCTTTATTTCCCAGTATTCCCTAGAATATGCCCTCCACTCCAGTCACCTCCCTGCTTATCCGGGCCTTTGCTCAAGTGGTGTCTGACTTCTGGAACACCTTTCCTCTTCTTAAACACCTACGGAATCCTACCTACTTGAACCCTACCTGCCTAATCCACCTTGCTACTTTGTTCACAAGGACCACACTGAGGACCTAGGTGATGAGAAGGATAGAAAAGGCAGGGTTAGAGGTCTGCTGTCTTCCCATTTCCTTTACTGTGTGGAAGCTTCCCTACCATATCTTGACTCCATTGCTTGGAAATGCTTTTCTGTTGCACCTGCCTGGATTGTGAAGAAACCCCACCAGCTTGACGGCCCCGGACCACCTAGCTGTGAGTGGAAGGAGCCTGTTTGCCCTCAGCCGGGTAGACTGTCTTTGTTTTACAGGCCTAAAAGAGAAAAAGCTGACACTGCTAATGTTTACTTGCTTGTTGCTTCTTAGGAAAGATTCTTAATCACTGTCGAGTTAATATACCAAGTGCTAAAATTTTTGAGAGATGGATGGTGGGTTTGCCAAATGATAGACTGCCAAGTTGGGTCTCTGGAATGAATCCAGTATTCCATAAACCCTGCCTCTTTCCTAATCATAGAAAGAACCCCAAACGACAGAAAGGCAGAGTAGAGTTTCAGGCAGCAGAATGACACAGAAGCCTCATCCTGTGCTTCCTGAAAAACAGTGCAGCTGGAGACAAATCTCATCTCCCCGCTTCACCCACTATGCACAGGGCTGTCCTGCTCGATGAGGGCACCACAGGCACCGGGGAGATCTTTGGAAACATCTCTTGAAAGGGGTCAAGAGTAGGTTGTCCTCGGAGACTTTCTTACTCTTCTGCCAATTTGCAACTGGGAAGGTGACTGAGATGGGTAAAAATGCAAGGGGAATGATGAGGACTTCCTGGGCCTCCTGCTACCTTGAAGGAAAACGGTTCACTGGTTGGAAGGGTTACCTCCTCTTGTTTCATTTGAAATGGCATGAAAGTGGGTATCTCCAAGTTAGCCAGTGGGTTGGATAAGGGCTTTTCTGCTTTGTGTTACTTTACCCAGAGTTAGAGGAAAGGGGGATGGTGAAGGTAATAGTTCTGAATGTCTCCATCTTCATGCCTTGAGCTGGAAGATGAGGAGGATAAGAAGAGGTAAATTAAAGATAACCTCCCCCAAACCAGCTACCAAGCTAACACACACACACACACACACACACACACACACACACACACCCAGAGAGAATGAGTGAAATTCAAAACAAACCTTCTCAGGCAATTACATTAATATGATAATAATAACAATAATACGTGTTACACATGTCTACTGATTTACAATTTATAAAGCACTGCTGTACATTATTTAGCAGTATTCTTACAATAAATAATCCAGTCAGGTGATAATCAACATAGCAGCTACCATGTACTGAAAGATTACCGGGAACACTTCATGTGGTATTTTATTTAATCCTCACAACCTCTTTGTGGTACTACTGTTATCTCCATTCGACAGATGGAGAAACAGGTTTGGAGAGGTTAACATACTTGCCCAACAGGTAGAGAATGAAACCTAGGTCCTTCTGATTCCAAGAGTACAGGCTCTTGACCTTAATAGGGTACATCTCATGGCAGGGCTGGTTTTTTTTTTTTTTTTTTTTTTACAAGTTCTAGAAGGGAAGGCCACTCAGGAAGAAGCAGTCCTCATATCTTAACTCCTCAAGAGGTAGGTTCACACAGACACACACACAATGAATACTCCAAGAAGTCCCACTTCTCTGTTGTCCCCAGCTACAAACACATCCAGCTTGCACAGATACAGGTCCACAGATGTACCTGTATGGAGACAAAGGTCAACCCCTAAGGATAACATAGCTTCACTTAACCTGTATCTGAAGTTGCAGCAAGGGTTTCCATTTGACAGGATGCAACTACAGCAAAGCAATGAATTAGCATCTAGTTCTGAAGCTTTGTCACGAAAAATAGTTTAAGACTATGAATAATGAGATGGAATGCCATTTAGCAGAATGGCTTGTGATATTCAATTAAATGTTCAGCTTGAGAGATTCGTGCACACACAGAGAAGAAGAAATGACTGTAGGAAACAGCAAGGCACAAACACATGGTGACAGCTCATAGAGCTGGCTGTCCTATTCTTCATGGGACCCATCTGACCTCAGTGGTAAGGTCTGCTGTTAGCGCAGGGGCCTGACACAAACAGACACGCACACATCTGGGATAACCGGGGCTGGGAAGACTTGGTGGAGAAGAAACAGGACTCTTGAGAACTCCTTCCCTTCCCTTTTACCAAAGCACCAACTCCTCCTCTGGAGTGTCTCCTCCCCCTTCTTCTCCTCCCTCTTCTTTCTCTAAGCTTCCTTCTCCTCTCCTTGAAACATCAACCTGCGTAAGAGACCTGAGGGTGGGGTGGGGACAGCAAGTTAGTTCCTGGAATTTTGAGACAGTAAAGTGTCGAGGTCAGCATCCCCCAACCCTGCCCCAGCTTTCCAGATAGACTTAGATACATACATAAACACCTACTGGAACTTTAAACAGATATGAGGAGATCCACAAGTCCCGCATGATACAAAATCTTGGTGCTTCCTAGCCACAGAAACATACAAGTAGGCAAAGGGCTCAGGTCAATTTGTTATATCCACACCTACCTGCACAAAGGAGGTGACCCTTACACATACACTCAAACACACACACGGAGGAATCCTCAATGCAGGCATCTTGGTAATGCCACCCTACCTGTTGACCAGCCTCATCTCTTCCACCCACCCAAAGGTGTTGACCACAGCCGCCCTGTGAGAGGCGGAGGGGTACCATGTAGTGGACAGGGAATCACTCTGCCCTTCGCTACTCCCTGCTGTGAGACGTGGGCAAGCTACGTAGCTTCTCTGGGCTTCTGTAAAATGGAACTAATAACCACCTGGCTAGATGCTGTGCAGATGTAGGGGAATCATCTATGTAGGGCTTTTGGCACAGCGTCTGGCGCTGTCCTGCCTGGTTCCTGAGCTTGCCTTTCCTACACCCACGCCTGGACGCCTGGGCTGAGAGTGCCTCCTGGCACTTGGTCCCCACTCTCAGGATGCTGGCCTGACATAGGGAAGAGTGGGGACTAGTCTAGGACCTCGGGTCTGTGACAGGAGGGTCAACTCTAAGGTCACAAGTCCGCCGGCCGGCCGCGGCTAGCCTTCAGGGCCCCCGAGGGTGTCGAAAGCCGGGGACAGGTGGGCTGGGCGATCAGTTCTACGGTGCGTGGACCCGTGGGCGGCAGGTGGAGCCGACCGGTGAAGGCGGGCAGAACCCAGCGGTAAGTCGACCCAAGGCTGTGGGTGGCTTCCTCCTGTTGCTCAGTATCAGGGAGAGGCGGGGGAGGACATTCATTTTTTCCAAAGTAAGCACCCACCCATTGCTTCGATAACTATCGATTGTGAAAAGCCGGCGGCGACTCTTAAAGGCGAAGCCCGATTCCTGCGTCTGCGCCCCCGCAGCACCACCCCTCCCCCCCCCCCCCCCCCCTCCGTGGCTGCGTTCCCGGACTTCTTCGCTGGGACCTCCTCTGCCTCTGTGGGGCAGCGATGGGCGAACCCCTCTGCTCCGCTGGTGTAGCAGCCTCGGGAACCGCAGCCACTAGCTGTGGTTTGACCCCTGCCCGTCCACCCGCGGGTCCTTTCCTTGCCGGAGTCACCTGTCCCGCAGCGTCCCTGGCGCCAGGGTTCGAGGACAGGGTCGGCGCACAGAAAGTTATTTCAAAGGGCAGATGTGTTGCAACCCTCGCTGCAGCAAACTACAGGACGCGGATTTCCCGAACTCTTCCCCACCCCCACCCAGCCCGGGCGACCCGAGCCCGCCGCAGGACGCAGCTACGCGGAGAGCCACCCGCAGATGCACCTCTTCTCCCTCCCGCGCGCCCAAGCGCAGTGGAAAACCTCACAGCAAACTCACGGCGCGGAGCAATCCCCGGTCCCGGCCTGGAAGGGATCGGCCTCCCGCCCGGCAGCTCCGAGAAATACTCGCGATTTCCTGCCCCAGACTCCCCTCCTCCCGGCCCCGGCCCTCCCGGCTGGGCTGCCGCGGCCCCTCGGTACCTGCGGCGGTCACGGGCTCGCCTTCACTCTGCTCGCCGGAATCCGAATCCATGCTGCGGGCTGCTGGCCGGACGTCCACAGCCGCTCGCCCGTCTGCGGGGCTGCTCGGGGCCGGCGTCCGGGCTCCGGCGACCGCGGCACACTCAGGACGGGAAGCCGAGCGGCGGCAGCGCTGGAGGCGCGGGCTGGGCAATGCGCGGCGGCGGCCGGGGGGCGGCTCCGCAGAGGCGAGCGCCGCCCGCGCCCGGCTCCCAGCGCCCCGCCGGCCGTTGCCTGCGCGCCAGGCGAGCGCCGGGCGGAGGGTGGGGGCGCGCGGGGAGAGAGCGGGGAGGGGGAGGGGAGGCGCGAGCTGGGAGGAGCGGGAGCGGCCGGCCCCGTGGGCTCCAGACGGGGCTTAAATACCCCGGGGGCGGTGCCGCTCCTCCTACCCGCGCCCCGCGCCCGCAGCCCTGGACTTGAGGCGCGCGGTGAGGTCGTGCCGGTTGGCGAGACCGAGCGCGGTCGCTTGCGGATGGCCAAGTTGGTTGGCTTTTGAGGTGAAAAAGCGCCCCTACCCCGTAAATGAAACAAACAAAAAAAGGGTTCTGTGTGGGAGTCCTGAGGCTGCCTTGGCTGGAATCCGAGTCCACCGCTCCGGGACCTTGGGCGAGAAACTCAACCTCCCTGAGGTGTTTCCTCACTTGGCAGATGGGGAAATGACAGTTGCCTTTTGCCGGGAATGTTGTGGGGGAGTAAATAAGATAATGCACGTGAGGAGCGAGGGCAGGGCCAGACACCTGGCGAGGAAGGGAACAGCGCTCGGCAGGTACGCACGCTCCGGCTGCGCTTCTTGCCCGCGTGGGCGGGACGGGCTGGCGGCAGAGCGCAGCCGGGCCCAGCTGGGGGCCGGAGCTGGGGGCTTAACTCGGGGCAGTCGCGCGCCGCGGACACACCCTGCCGCCCCGGCCCCGCCCCTTGGCGCCCCGGACTCGGGCGGAGAATGGGATTTTCAAACCTCGTGTTAATGAGGAGTGCGCCACATGCTCCGAAGCGCCTACCCTTTCACTTTGTAGAAAGAGGTATTTGTGAATTTACTTAGTAATTAAGAGACAAAACGACGGGGGCGGTGGGGGGGAACGCCCTGAGCAGGAGCTGTAAGGCCTCAGGAGATCGGGAGATCGCTGGTGGTTAATTCTCGACCATCCATGCAGTCATACTGTCTCCTGAATTATCAACTCCCAGCACTTCCGTAACTTCAGGCCAGCCTCTGTGTTTATAAAGTGCCACCGAAAATGCAGACTATATTGACGTGAGCGAAATGAAGTCAGGAGGACACAGTCTACCTAAAAGTGCCATTTAATTGTTTCCTGTGCGCTCTTGTTTAATCTGTACAGCGACCTACTGAAGAGTTTGGGTTGAACCACGTGCAGATGCCTTTTTTGGGGTTCAAAAAGAGCTGAAAGTTGGTATTTACATAGAATCCGACCTATATTGCTGTCTCCATTTTATACATGTGGAAACTGAATATCAGGGAGAGCAAATAATTTTCTGTGGTCGCATGTCCAGTGAGTGAGTGAGCTGCGACTTGAAATCAGGCTTGTCTGATGTCCAGACCTGCTCCCAGCTGGTAGGGTAGAGTGTAACAAGTCAGTTTGGCCTTTTGGCTACCTGATGACTGCCTCTTTTAGTGAAGGTATGGGCTTCATAGAATACAAGTACGGTTCTACTTTGCGTCCTCAGAAAACATTTTTCTAGGTGGCCAAACTCAGGGGCTTTAGTTGACAAAAGCTGGATGGGTTTCTGTGGAATAGTCAAAAGATTCCCATTCTAGCCGTGTGATCTTGGGCAAATGGCTTAAACTCTCAGTTTCCTTGTATGTTGGCATCTCCTTCATAGGATAGTTGTAAGGGAGTAAATGAAATAATGACTGTGGAAGCTATTACTCAATGCCTGACACACAGTTAATGTTTGATAAGTGGGAAGAACATTACTTCTTAGATCTAATGGATCCCATTTAGAAAAAATATTTTAAAATTGCATTTTTAAATGAAAAGAGTAACAGCGACAGTTGTGTAAAAGTTGATACTCAAAAAAATAATAGCTGGTATCCTTTAAAGAGTTTGCCATCATAGCTTTGCATTCCTTTTTTTTTTTAAGATTTAAAAATTTATTTACTTATTTATATTGTGCGCTGAAGGGGAAGCGGGGATGGGCTGAGGGAGAGGGAGAGAGAACCCCAAGCAGACTCTGCTTTCTGCTTTGACTGGAGAGCTCCAGTCAGGGTTGGAGCCCAAGACCTTGCCAAAGGTTTGACCTGAGCCAAAATCAAGAGATTTGTTTAACTAACTGAGCTACCCAGTTAGTTATGCCCCATAGCTTTGCATTCTTGAGGAAAAACAAGAATGGTAGCAGAGAACAGAGTATATTAGATTGAAAAGACATCCAGCTTCCTCTGAAAGCCAACCCTAGATTCAACAACAGGGAATGTGAAACTTTCTCTGCTCCCTTACACCTCCTTTCCTGGCACTTGGTAGAAGCTTTTTAATGATTATTTATTTGTTTGTTTTAATGGACAGATGGTCTAGGTTGACGGATGAGAGAGACAGAGTCCCATGGAGGTATCTGTACATCACAGCAATAAAGGAAATGGGGAAGCCACTACTGGAACTTGGTTAACGGTAAACAAGGTATGGAGAGCACACATTTATGGTACATACAGGCCCATCAGTCATTGGATCTTTACTGAATAACTAGTACATTCATCCCAGAGATAGAATGCTGGGGGTGGGGGATGCTGGTCAAAGTGCTTCAGAAAAGTGTATGAGTCCAGAAAAATAACACCTATTCATTTATTTATTCCTATATTCAGTCATAGTATATTTCTGCAAAAAAAAAAAAAAAGCAGACCTAGAATGAAAAATTGAATGTGGAATTAAACAATGGAGAAGAGAGATCCAAACCAAATAAGGTCCCCATTCCAATTTCCTATGACATGCAATCTGTTGTCATGGGATAGCAAGACAAAGGGAAATGACTGCTGGCACACATGTGGGTTTAATGAGGAACATTAGTGGAACATACCTTATCTGTCCTCCCAGTGTGGAAAAATCTGCATAAGAGAAGGAAGTCCTTAAAATAGTATCTCACGACCGTCACCCCCATGAAAACAGTGAAATCTGAGGTGGTGAATCTCCTTTACAAGCCAGACCTAGTATATTTCTTTAAAAAGAAAAAGAAGGAAAGGAAAAGCTCTTAGAAAAGAGGAAAGGATTTCTGTAGTTCCTCTGTGTATTTTTAGAAGAATGGCATCACTTTGCAGACTTGAATCTAAAGTCTGAGGGTTATAAACCACTTTCCTCAGTGTTTCCACTACATCTTTTCAGCCTGGCAGCTTTTCAGACAGATGAGTTTCTAACTCTTATTGGTCATTCCTTAGCTTTAGCTAACGAAGTCATTGGCTTTTAAAGAAACTTGCCCAGTCTGGTGGGAAAAGCCTATCTATATGTAAGGTGTCAAGAAACGGATAATAAAGTAGATCCATTTCTGCAAACACAATAATACTCCTTTAATCTAAGCCAGTGCTATGACTCATCTGCCTGTCTCCTCTTGTGGGATGGCAAGGGAGCTGTCTGTAAACCTTTGGGCAAGCAGCCTGGAGAGAGGAGGGAGGTTCCTCTCATGCGCTAAGGGCTGCTGCTCAGCTTCAAAACCTCACAGGGCTCTGGCACTGCCATTTTTTCTAGGCTGAAGTGGCCCTTGGTATTTCGGGATGTGAGATTGGCTAGGGCAGCCCCATTTTAAATAACTTGTCTTGAGGTGGATTGTGGCACCAAGGAAGCTCTGCCCAGAGTGAGGTGGCCTTCATGGGGCTCTAGGCAAGCTGGACTGTGGGGTCTGAACTGGCTTCATATTCATCTGGCAGAAGACAACCTTGAAAGGGGGGGGCCTTTCCTCTTTCTTTCTGGCTAGCAAAAATAAATTTTTATTGTCCTCCATTCCTCATTTCAGGAGTATCACTGTGGAAAAATTAAAATCCAGTCATAATTGCACTAGTTATAGTAACTATAACACATCTTTTGAAAAACTTTTCTCTTTGTGTGTAGCATTCTGCTTTTTTAACTTGCTTTTTCCTTTTAATAGTATGTTATGAACATCATTCCATCTACTTTTTGCCACAATGTTTAATATCTGCACAGTATTCTACTGTATGGGGATATACCATCATGTAGTTTAACAATCCCTTATTATTGGGCATTGAGGTTGTTTCCAATTTTCTGGTATAACTGACAGCATTAGTGAACACTTCATGCCTAAATCTTTGCGTACATCTTTAATCAATGTCTGTGAACTTTCAACAACTTCATTTGTTTTTTTATAGTGGGGAGAGAGATGGATGATTGCATCTAACAAAATAATTGCTGTATATATATCAAGAGTTTAAGATTATCAAGAATCGTCATGGGCATTGTCCCTTCTTAGTAGGAAGTGAGTCATTTGAGTTCATTTTTGCACTTTCTAAGCATTCATTGAGCCCAGAGGAGATTCTTCTGGGTTGAGGGGAGGAGTGGAAAATTTCTTTTCACCTTTTCTTTGTGGACAGTATGTCCCCTGCACAGCCCTATCCAAATCAAGTCACCTTGTAGGAGATAGGGTGTGGGGACCTGGGCAGTTGGGCATTAAGTTATTCTATGTTCTTAGCTTTTGCCCTCATGAGTTGCCTATAGGATAGCTTCTGGAGCAACTAATGTAGTTATAGTGACTCTAAAGCACTGATTCAAGGTTTCCTGGGTGGCTCAATTGGTTAAGCATCTGACTCTGGATTTCGGCTCAGGTCATTATCTCAGGGTCCTGAGATTGAGCCCCATATCAGGCTCCACGTGCTAAGTGTGGAAACTGCTTAGGAGTCTTTCTCTTCCTCCTCTACTCCAGCTATAAATAAATAAACAAATAAATAACTGATTCACAGGGAGAAGGAAATTGAGAGAGGGAGGAGGAAGAGAATGAGGGCCCAATTTTTCTTATGCTCTGGCCCAGCTCTTTCTGGGGTATATTGGGTTTTCAGGAAAATAGGGGAGTACTCAAATACTGGATGGGGCAATATTGCCCCAGTTTTC